CAGATCATGGAGCCAGATGGCACAAGCCTCAGAGGAACAGGGGATTTTTTGACATCAAGAGTTGGGAGAGAACGATTATCTGGAAGTGGCACGGGGGAAGTATTAGCCCCTTCCTTCTGATCTTACAGAGTGAACAACACGGGTTTGCTTCAGGGGAAGCTATATTCTCAGGGACCAGCACGTTTCAGTTAAGACAATGAGTTAGAGAAAACAATTTGAGAGAAGACTCTTTGAAAATGGGGTAGGAGTTTCTGATCGCATAGCTTTCAAGGTCTAAAAGAACCAGCAGTTTTATAATCAAAATCAGGTCTTCCATTTAGGAGGGACAAGGGGTTGCTAAGAGCTTGTGACCCCGATCCCTGTCCTCTGTAATTCACCTTCCATCACACCGCCATCATGCTGGATTTAGGGAGTGCTTGCTGTATCCTCTGTACCAGTTTTGTCAGAGGGTAGTCTCATAACTCTTAATGCTCCAGTAACACACCTGAGACCATATTGGAATCCATTGACTTATTTCTCCCTTCTCTTCTTCCCTTCCCTTCATCTCCCTCTACCTTAATGTTTTTCCTTTCCTTAAATCGTCCATTCATTCAGTGAGACTTTCAAAGCCCAGAAAAAAAATAGATATGACATAACATGCAACAAGATATTGTTGCTTATAAAGAATTGTTACTCATCATTCTTTACAACTTTTTTTTAATTGAAATATAATCAGTTACAATGTGTCAATTTCTGGTGTGCAGCACAATGTCCCAGTCATGCATAAATATACATATATTCATTTTCATATTCTTTTTCATTAAAGGTTATTACAAGATATTGAATATAGTTCTTTACAATTCTTGAATCTTTTACAGGGGGGCTTACCTACCTAGTTCTTTCAGGGTCTATTTCCTGCTTTCCTATAAAACCTTCAAGACCTCCAGAGAACTAAGTGTCCCAACCCAAGAGAGGAAGTTCCAGAGAAGACAGATGCTCCCTCATCACCTCTGTAAGACCTGCCTCTCAATTTTCATTCTTCAGTCTTGAAGGCCTGTCTTCCCCTAAATAATTGACAGCAGGGATACCCAATTGGTTTAGGGAAAACTCTACCTCCTAGGACAACTAATTCTGCATCTGAAGCTTAACCACATCGGAAATCTAAACCCAATATCCAGACACAAACTGGAGATCGAGTTACTGTATAGAAAATGGCAGGTGTCCTATTGAGACCTCTCATTCCAACTAGTTATTAATAAATATATTGCATATATTTTGCTATAATTTTATTCTATAGAATGATTTGCTAACTGTTTTCCAAATATATTTTCAAAATTGAATAAAAGGTGCTAAAAAAACCCATGGCATTTCCTACAGTATACAAGACATGCCTTTGCCCAATAGACAAGCATTTCAATGTTGAGTTTTTAACCACAGAAGCATGTTGTTTTAAATTGCACTAATGGTAAATTAATTGGGCGGGGAGGGAGTAATGCAGACTTGGTGCTGAGTAAATTAAAGCTTTCAGTCTAATAACAGCCTTATTAGGTTGCTCTTAGGGCACTGCACATCTGCCTAAATTCACATGTAGATGAGTAGCAGAATAATAACAAATTAATTATCCCTCAAAATTTAAAAAAAAAAAACAGCAACAACGTAAATGAACTGCATTACTTCCAGCCTGCCAGTGATAGTGGGAGGTTTTTCTAGTCCCTGAGAGAAGTTTCTGTAAGTAGTCACTTGACAATCACTCTACTAGATATTCTGAGAAGGGGAAACAGAAGAAACGGAAAGGGGAGGTAAACTTTCTTCAACAAATGGTACTTGTGGTATCGAGTCACTGAACTGAGCTGTGATTTCAGCAATAAGGATAATGAAGGTCTGTAAAAGTTGGAGAACACCATATAACCCACTGGCCCTCCGCAGAGATCTTTCATGCCTCAGGCAAGTAACAGAAGACCTTGCTTAAGGATGACCTCAATGCTTCAGACCACTGTTAACTTGGAAACTGAGACACATATACGATTTCTGGCTCACACAACTTTTAACAATTTCCGTCTCCAATAAGATTAATTAATGCACTATAACAAGTATTAAATTACATCCTTCATTTGCCAGGCGATATGATTGTTGGATACATAGACAAACCATGTTGTTTGTTTGGTGCATTTTATTTGTTATTTTTTTATTTTTTAAACATTTGTTATTGAGTTATAGTCAGTTTACAATGTTGTGTCAAATTCCAGTGTAGAGCACAAGTTTTCAATCATACATGAACATACATATATTCATTGTCACATTGTTTTTCGCTGTGAGCTACCACAAGACCTTGTATATATTTCCCTGTGCTATACAGTATAATCTTGTTTATCTATTCTGCATATGCCTGTCAGTATCTACAAATTTTGAACTCCCAGTCTATCCCTTCCCACCTCCCTCCCCCTTGGCAACAAAAAGTTTGTGTTCTATGTCTATGAGTCTGTTTCTGTTTTGTATTTATGTTTCTTTTTTTTTTTTTTTTTTTAGATTCCACATATGAGTGACCTCATACGGTATTTTTCTTTCTCTTTCTGGCTTACTTCACTTAGAATGACATTCTCCAGGGACATCTATGTTGCTGCAGATGGCGTTATGTTGTCATTTTTCTGGCTGAATAGTATTCCATTGTATAAATATACCACTTCTTCTTTATCCAGTCATCTGTTGATGCACATTTAGGCTGTTTCCATGTCTTGGCTATGGTAAATAGTGTTGCTATGAATATTGGAGTGCAGGTATCTTTTTGAAGAAGAGTTCCTTCTGGATATATGCCCAGGAGCAGGATGACTGGGTCATACAGTAAGTCTATTCCTAGTCTTTTGAGGACTCTCCATACGATTTTCCACAATGGCTGCACCAAACTACACTCCCACCAGCAGTGTAGGAGGGTTCCATTTTCTCCACAGCCTCTCCAGCATTTGTCATTTGTGGACTTTTGAATAATGGCCATTCTGGCTGGTGTGAGGTGACACCTCATCATAGTTTTGATATACATTTCTCTGATAATTAGTGGTATTGAGCATTTTTTCATGTCCCTATTAATCATTTGTATTTCTTCCTTGGAGAGTTGCTTGTTTATGTCTTCTGTCCATTTTTGGATTGGGTTGTTTGTTTTTTTCTTATTAAGTTATATGAGCTGCTTATATATTCTGGAGATCAAACCTTTGTCAGTTTCATTTGCAAAAATTTTCTCCCATTCTGTAGGTTGTTTTGTTCTACTTATGGTTTCCTTTGCTGTGCAGAAGTTTGTAAGCTTAATTAGGTCCCATTTGTTTATTTTTGCTTTATTTCTATTGCTTGGGTAAACTGCCCTAGGAGAACATTTCTGAGATGTATGTGAGATAATGTTTTGCCTATGTTTTCCTCTAGGAGGTTTATTGTATCTTGTCTTATGTTTAAGCCTTTGATCCATTTTGAGTTTATTTTTGTGTACAGTGTAAGGGAGTGTTCTAGCTTCATTGTTCTACATGCTGCTGTCCAGTTTTCCCAACACCATTTGCTGAAGAGACTGTCTTTATTCCATTGTATATTCTTGCCTCCTTTGTTGAAGATTAGTTGACCAAAAGTTTGTGGGTTCATTTCTGGGCTCTCTATTCTGTCCCATTGGTCCATGTGTCTGTTTTTGTACCAATACCATGCTCTTCTGATTACTGTAGCTCTACAGTATTGTCATAGGCAAACCATGTTTGACCCTCAAAGAGCTTTGAATTGAGGAGACATACCAGCAAATCCAATCAGTACATTGTAAAAATGGATATAATTATAATGGCAGTATGCCAGAGGTTCAATGGAATTTGAGAGAGAAGCATCTAAGAGAGGTAAAGGGGGAGAGTTCAGTGACAGGGAAGTCTTCTTATATGATAGGATTTTTGAACTGACTTTTAAGAGAGAAATAGGAATTTTCTAGGCAAAAAGGGGTAGAAGACGTTCTCAGTAGAGAAAACATATGTCAAGACAAGAAATATAAAACAATATGGCCTTGCCACCTTGCCTCCTGATCCAGTCAGGAAACAAAGGGCACCCTTGGAAGGGTAACTGGAAAGAGTTTAATGAAGTGATTATTTCCAGAAATGCAGGCTAGGTCAGGGGCAACAACAAAGGATGGTGAAGCATTCAAGGACAGCAACGGTGGGAAGTCATTAAAGACCTGGTGAGCAGGGACAAGGAAAGGGAATGAGACTGCCAGAACCTGGTGGAAGCCATGGCCATGGAAGAGGGGCTGCCCAACAGGAACCACAACCAGAAGCCGAGGACACCACCACCTAAGAGCCACAGCCTGGCAGAGACTAGGGGAGGGGTAGAAATACCTCACTGGCCTCCAGTCTCCAGCAGGCCCCTCCCACCGGCTGAACCCCACCGCAGCCAGAGGGGAAAGGAGTTGGGGAAGGCTTTCTGTAAAGGTCGCTTCCTGAGGCCCAGAGAGCAGAGACTAGACCCGGAGAGGCAAACAGTCCCTTAGCACAACCGATTCACATCCCACGCCTGAACAGTTTCCTCCTCCTTGAATTGGTGCAGCCCAGGACTAAACCTGTAACTCACGTTAGAAAAGTTTGCTCTTGTTTCTTCTGACAGAGAGGGAAGCTCATTGGCTTAAATGACAAGGAGAGGTCATTAAAGTCCAGTTTGTTGTGTAACCTCTGCCCCGCACCAGATCTTTCTACTTTTAACCTCAATAATGTGATAATTATTCTATCAGATATTTTAAAATGAAAACAAGTACTCCTGAGTGTGTGATGACATACGTTGTAATTGTCTTTCTAAAAACAACTCCTTTAACATTGTCAAGTGGATGAAACTGGCTCGCATATTCGTTTCATAGAATTTTTTTTGTACTTAACGACATCCCATATTTGACTTATAAACTCCAGTTAAATCACATTAAGCTATCTTTAAATTGTATTATGGTGCTGCATTGTTTGAAGGAGGGAGAAAAGAACAATTTGTCCTTTTACAACCCTTTTTTTTTCCTATTTATTTTTCAGGTCAATAACTCGATCTTATTACCGCAACTCGGTTGGTGGATTTTTGGTATTTGACATTACCAACCGACGATCTTTTGAGCATGTGAAAGACTGGCTAGAAGAAGCAAAAATGTATGTACAGCCATTTCGGATTGTGTTTCTGCTGGTGGGACATAAATGTGACTTAGCCTCGCAGCGTCAAGTCACAAGGGAAGAAGCCGAAAGACTGTCCGCAGACTGTGGGATGAAGTATATAGAAACCTCGGCAAAAGATGCTACAAATGTAGAGGAATCCTTCACCATCTTGACAAGAGACATCTACGAGCTTATTAAACGGGGGGAAATTTGTATTCAGGATGGCTGGGAAGGGGTTAAAAGCGGTTTTGTTCCAAATACCGTGCATTCTTCTGAGGAAGCAGTAAAGCCCCGGAAAGAGTGCTTCTGTTGACTTCAAACACGCCGAAGAACCAAGAACAAACTGGGTGTCATTTCAGGATAAATACCAACATTAAGCACAGAATGATGTGACAAAAGCGTTGAAAAAAGTCATAAACCCATGCTAACACTATTTTGTAAGGTATTTGATTCAGAGCAGTGCGCTTACTTGTTAAAGTACCAGATTGGTATTCGGCTAAATTATCAGGCAAAGCAGACAACTTGCTCTTGAAACTGGAGTGTCTACATAATTACCTCCACTCTCACTTTGCTAGCATATAACTGACCTTAACGTCCAAATATGTCAATATTACTCATCTTTCTTGACAGTTTGAAATGGGTGTTTTGTGCACATATATAGTCTGATTGAAAAGATTTTATCAGGAATAAAATTCTCTTGAGTTAATTAATTAATATTAAATAGTAAAGTGGATTTTAAAGTGCACTGTTCACTTACAAAATAAACAATCTCAGAGTTATCAACTAGGCCTAAAGGAACAGTTCCTTGTTAAAGGTACCAGGTTTTAAACCATCCTCTGAAACATTTATCCTCTCTTAATTTTGCCTGGACATAAGAAGATAAGTTTTTTACTCATTTTTGTTCTCTGATTTTATTTCTCCTAAAATTTTTATGTTTTATAAAGGTGTCTAAGGATCCAAGCAAAATGTTTTGCTGCAAATATTTGTGAAAATAAAAATGAAGGACCACTGTCAGGAAATGTTCTGTTGTTACAGTAGACTGTCCTTATTTAGACAAGAAAAACAAATTTATATGCTGATATTGTCAAAGAAAGTAAATTCAATTCACCTTGAACTATTATCAGAATTATCAATATAGGTAAATATAGAATGTTTCTAGTAATAGCTTGCTTTGTCCAAGTAAATTTCCAAATTGCCCCATTTTCAATACAAGGAAAAATGTAGAAAAGATTTTTCTGAGTGAGAAAAATTGGCTAGATGTTTGATATATTTAGCATTCAGATTTTCTTTTACAATCTCACCAGTAAAAGTAAAGATAGAATAATGAGTTAAGGCTGTAAGATAATGTTTCCTAATTTTTAACTTACTGATTAAATTAAGTAAATTAAAAATGTCCCGCCTTGAAGGGACATTTTTATCACATTGTCAAATATTTTATAATGTACGTTTCTATTCTGGTCTGTAAACCATCCCTGATCCCAAAGAAGCACCAAATGAAGCTGCGTTTTTGGAATCATGAGTTCTTTACTGTTAAACTATAGCTCCTTCATTTGTCTGAAAACCAATGTGGTATGTATAGCAGAAGAAATTGGAAAACCTGGGTTCTAAGCTTGCCTTTGCTCTCCAATATTTGTACATGTGTAAATCACTTAACCTCTCTCTAAACACTAGCTTTCTTATCTGTAAAACAAGATTAATAACCCCATTTATTTTATTTCATGGAATTATTTTGAAAGTCCAGCGAATTATGTAGAAAAGCTTTGTAAATCAAGCAAGTAATACACAAATGTGAGCTCACGAGCAGCTGCTCACGGGCACACTATATTTACAAACGTATGAGAATTTGTTCTCCTATTCTTCTCCTTCATTCTCACATAGGAGGAGAAAAGAAAGTGCATGCTTCCATGGATCTGGGGCAGTTCTTGGTTTGATGTATTTCTCTGCCCTCTTACCCTGAAACCCCGCTCCTCCAAAGTGGAAATGATGGGGAAGGAAATCCCAGGAGACTTGTTTCAATCAAAAGTCATGTTTGAATGTGGTTCTTGTGCCTCTTTGAAGTAGATGTTTAATTGTATTTTTAAATAGTTACACCTTACCTAGGTTAATGTAAGTATTTTTATAGTGCTTGTGGCGAGAATATAAATTATACCATCACGATAAAATTTGTGAATGTATTGTCAACATTTTCTTGATATCCTCAGATTAATTTCACTTGAGTGAGTTTAACCTGTAATCGGCTACATAAGAAAATACTGTCCCCTCAGATGTGACGTAGCCTAATTTTCTAGTTTTACTTTTGCAATTTTAAATTTTATATTACAATTTTCCATCAGTCGGAAGTGGCATAAACTCAAATACTGAACACTTAACAATCTATTGTTTGGAGTGCAGTTACCTGTGGCTACTTGTGAAGTTAAATAGCTAAAGCATAAAATGTGATTTAACCTTCGGTGGACGCCCTTTATTAATAATAATGTTGGGGTAGGACTCATCTTCAGTCAAAGGGTATGATGTGTTCCAAGATTCAGAATAAAATTGAGGGTCAAAGAAACAAATGGGAGAGCAGGGCCCCAAAAAGCCGATACTTACCAAGATCACATGTGAGCAGAAGCAAGCCTAGACCTCTAGCTGTCCATGATTACATGATTGGTATCCTTTTTCATTACCATGCTGCGTCAGCGCATGTATGTGTGTGTGTTGAAGATAAGGGGAAATGTTATCTGACGGCATCCACAAAGCACTGAAATTGGGCTAAATCATTACGGTGTCGGAGGAGCTACTTGTGGCAAAACAGTACTAAAATGTGCGGTGACTACAGAAATATGAGTTCTTATACCAGATTGCCAAATGTCTGTGTAATCTTAGCCAGACGTCTTTATCAATTTACCTATCTCTGTGTATAAATAAATAGCTGACCTATTTTCTTACACATCATTATAGAGAATACGGCTAATAATGCCAATGTAGTAAAAATATCTGCTCCAGGCAAAACATTTTGACTTAGGTTCTTAGAAGTCAGATATGCTTGATTTTACATGAAAATTCTTTCATTTAAAATTTAATTTAAATTTAAACATTATTTAAAATTTTTAAAACTTAGAACTAATGAATGATGTAATTACTGAATAGTTTAAATGTGATTAAAAAGAAATTAAAGAACCATCCAATCAGATAATAAACTTGTCCCTGACAGAAACTGTTCATTTTGAGTTGCAAAAACACTTTCAGTGCATGTCGTGACGTGAAGTTTCATTTGATGGTAAGCTTAAGACAAAATGATGATGTAATCAGAGTGCTTTTAAATGTGGCCTTTATGTACATTAACAGTAGCAAACAAGATTTTTTTGAGCCTGGAAACTTGAGAATTTACTCTGGGTTTCCAGCAGGCGCAAAGCACTGTATTTTTGTTTGTTTGTTTATCTGTTTGTTTTGATTTTTTTATTTTTTGGTGGCAACAAAAGCAGTCCTTTCTATTATTGTTAAGATAACTTTGGCAATCTTTTCACCCAACTTTACATCACTGAAAACCTGAATCTATGGATTAATAAATCATATTAGGAGTGCTTTTGTCAGATTTTATATTGCCCTTGATTCAGTTAAGAACAAAGCTTCTTTTGACTTAAAAGAGTGCACTATACTTGAATAATTTCCTTAGTTGTGACATAGTGAGAAGGATTCAAAGGACTAATGACCCATTTGATAAGCAAACTCATTCGTTCCCCAGTAACTGCCTGGAGAGATTTAGTTGGAAATGCAAAGGAAACGTGTAATCACTAAGAAAAAATTAATGAAAAACTATAAAGGCTTTAAAGTTAGATCCTTGGTAGTTTAAAATGGCAGAATGCATTCCCAATTAGAAACTAACTCGTGGATATTCCATAGCTGATAAATAGCCATCTCTGCTTCAAAATCTTTCTAAATTCCAGTGTTTTCACTAAACTTTACTGAGCAACTGATCTTTAAAATAACTATTAAACTGTTCTCCTGAATCTGAATGAACTGCTGCATGACTTGGTATTCCCAAAATCTTAAAAGCACCTGAATGATGAGCTGTGACAATCTAACCAATTATTGCATCATCTAGTTCACTTACTACACATAATCATGGTATAGAATGAATGAAGGGGAAAGAAAAAATTTAAAGATATTTTAAAAAATGGTGTTCCTTGTTGCTGTCTCTCTGGGTAAATTTTTTGTCTTTTTTTTAAATATTGCCTAAAACATTGTCTTATCAATGTGACATTCAGTGACTACTAATTGATGGTTATTATGTTGAATTAATCCTATTAAATGTCGGTTCCATATATTTAATTTTAATTTATACATTCCATAGAGGAACAAACATGTTTTACTACAGTCATCTCTTGTCATTTTTTTTAGAATGACAGCCAATGGAAGAAAGATATGGTCTAAACATTTTGAAGTATGTTATTAGTGTTATTTGATTTTAAATAATAATGAATAAAAAGAATGAGAATGAGAACTCTTGTCACAGGATTGTTACATTATCCATTTTTAGTGATGCATTTTTAGTGGTGCTTTTAAAACTGCAGCAACTATTAGCTGACAATGTGTGTGTATTCACAGGTGAAGTACAAATAAGAATCAATACAAGATCTGAAGTTGCTTATATATTACATAATACTCTGGTGGCGCGCGGGGCAGAACACCAGAATCAAACATTAACATACAGGCAGCAAAATGTATGAATATTCACACTAGAAAGACAAGGTTACAAATAACCAGATCAGGTCAGATTTTTGCTGCCAAATGAGTTATCAGAAGAATTTTAGATTTTCAGAGCTGTGGGGGCTTCAGAATTGCAGAAAAGGGATCATGGATATCTACTATGCCTTAACAGATACTTCAGAATTTATTTACTTTTTTGTAGTTGGTTCATCTTTGTCATGCTTCAGCCTTGCACGTAGTAGGAGCTTATCAAATTTTGAATTGAGCTGTTAAACCACACACAATTTTCTTTACTTCTGTGTATATAACCCGTTACACATGTGAAATATTTACCACAGTGATCAGCACATAGTAAGCACCTGACAAATGTCACTTCTTATTTTTGTTTTCTTTGAGCTGCTGAGTTTTAATCCAAGAAGCCAGTTTTAATCCCCATGGTGTGCCAGCAACTAATTGTTGATAATGGCTATCTCACTAGGTCCCTGAAAGTGTTCATGAGTCTTTGAAATGGTCTGATTCTTTTTTTTTTTTTGCGTATTAAACAGGTACCATCCTGTACCTTTTTTTTATCCATTTCCTTTATTTTTTTTAACATTTCTTATTTATTTATAATCATTTTACAATGTTGTGTCAAATTCCAGTGTAGAGCACAATTTTTCAGTTATACTTGAACATAAATATATTCATTGTCACATTGTTTTCTCTGTGAGCTACCATAAGATCTTGTATATATTTCCCTGTGCTATACAGTATAATCTTGTTTATTTCTCTACAATTTTGAAATCCCAGTCTATCCCTTCCCACACCCCACCCCCTTGGCAACCACAAGTTTGTATTCTATGTCTATGAGACTATTTCTGTTTTGTATTTATGCTTTGTTTTTAGATTCCACATATGTATTATTTCTTCTCTTTCCGCCTTACTTCACTTAGAATGACATTCTCCAGGAGCATCCATGTTGCTGCAAATGGCGTTATGTTGTCGGTTTTTATGGCTGAGTAGTATTCCATTGCATAAATATACCATCTTTTATCCAGTCATCTGTTGATGGACATTTAGGCTGTTTCCATGTCTTGGCTATTGTAAATAGTGCTGCTATGAACATTGGGGTGCAGGTGTCATTGTGAAGTAGGGTTCCTTCTGGATATAAGCCCAGGAGTGGGATTCCTGGGTCATATGGTAAGACTATTCCTAGTCTTTTGAGGAATCTCCATACTGTTTTCCACAGGGGCTGCACCAAACTGCATTCCCACGAGCAGTGAAGGAGAGTTCCCTTTTCTCCACAGCCTCTCCAGCATTTGTTGAAATGGTCTGATTCTTAAGAGTCAGGGAAGAATGCTTTAGTAGGACAATCAGAAGATGACACAGCTCTTGGCGATTGCTGGCAGTCACCAGCAGCCTCTGAGCAGATGGACAGGGGCTCAAATCAGCACAGGCCATCATGTCTGCACAGCAGCACTGGGATGTTGGCACCAGGAACAGTGAGTGCTCGTGCCTGTGCGGTAAGGACTGTAGGTCAAAGGACTGGACTTCTTAGTCACTTATATATAAAATGACCATCAGCATTGTTTTTAAAAGATTTTTTGGCAACAGCTTTATTGACATACACTTCATATACCATAAAATACTCATTTAAGACACACAGTTAAATAGTTTTTAGTGTACTCAAAGTGCAACCATCACCAAAGTCAGTTTTAGAATATTTTTGTCACCTCAAAAAAGAAATTCCTGTACCCTGTAGCAGTTACTCTCAATGTACCTCCCCACTCCACACCACCGGAGCCCTAAACAACTTCTCATCTATTTTGTGTATTTGCCTATGCTGGACATTTCATACAAATGGAATCCTATAATATATGTCTTGTATGATTGGCTTCTTCCAATTAGCATGTTTCTAAGGTAGTATCATCATTTTAATAAAAGTGTCCCCATTATGTAATAAATACTAGCTCATTGTATAAAATTTGGAAAATACAGAAAAATAGAAAGATGAGAGAAAAATCATTTTAGACCCATCACCTGAAAACAACTATTTCAATATTTAATATATTTCCTCTTAGTAATCGTGTCAAAAGAAAAAAATCTAATAATAGAGATACATAAAGTAAAAAGTGAGAGCCTCCTTTTACCTTGTCCCAATTTCATTCTTCTTGGAGAGAAAAGTCACTGTTCACAATTATATATGTATCCTTCACGCCTTTTTCTTACGTGTTTTACACATACAATGCACACTTTATATACTGCAGGAGGGACTACACAAATAAGATCAGTTTATGATATTATTCTGTAACTTGTTTTTTGCACATAATAAGGTTCTTGGAAATCACTTCCATATTGACATATATTTTCTCTTTGACATCTTC